GGAATACAAAGACACGGTCCAAGCATGCAGGAATGGTGTCAAGAAAACCAAAGCCCATCTGGAATTGAATACGGCAAGGGATGTGAATGGCAACAAGAAGGGCTTCTACAGGTGTATGAGCAGCAAAAAGGTGACTGGGGAAACATGGCCTCTTAGCTGAAAGGGGCAGGGGACCTAGTGACAAAGGATGCCAAAAAGCCTGAGCTACTCAATGCATTCTTTGCATTGGTCTTTACTGGTAAGACTGACCTTCCAGAATCTCAGGTCCCTGAGGGCAGAGAGAAAGTCTGGAGCAAGGAAGACTTGCCCTCAATGGAGGAGGATCAGGCTAGGGAACATTTAAACCAAACAGACATACACAATTCTATTAGACCTGACAGAATGAACAGGATGAAAGAAAAAGTTTTTTACTACAAGGGTGGTCAAACACTCAGAAGGAACAGGAACAGGGGGTTGTGGAGTCTCCATCCATGAAGATATTCAAAACCTCACTGGACATAGTCTTAAGCAACCTGCTCTGGTTAACTCTGCTTTGAGCAAGGGGATGGACTAGACAATCTCCTGACATCCCGTCCAGCCTCAACTATTTGGTGGTCCTGCGAATCGTTCCTGTCAGTGGTGAACGAGTAACACAGACTGACTGGGATGTATGAGAACAGAATTCTTAGTGCATAGTGTGAAGTGGTGTCTATTTGTACACAATGCAGACTAACTGAAGCAGCATGCATGCTAGAAAGGCATTTCCAGTCAAGGACAAAAGAATGTGGCACAGTGCTTCCAGGCAAACCACACCTGCTGCCCCCCAGTATGGACGTGACCTGCCCACCCAGAAAGTCCCTGAAACCTTGAGAGTTTAAAAATAAAACCAGGTCACTGTATTTGACTTGCTATGCAGTGCTTTTTCACATACCTGCCACAGGCAATAAATCCATAGTCTATTCCAGAAACACAAATAGATTATCTATGATAATATTGTGCTTTGCAATCATTTGACCAGTATAAATAGGAAATGACACAGGCAGAAAGAGAAACCTCTCATTCTGCCTTAATTAAACTGTATTTATTAAAAAACTGTTATCTTCTCAGCGAGACACCAAGACAGAACAACTAATAGCACAGAAAACATAGGCATCAGCTTGGATACCGATGTACTCCGATAGGGCTGTAACATCTTTCTCCTAATAGAGTAAAGCATTCTGCCTTAATAAGGCCAAAACACCAAAGTAAATTTCAGGTTACTCACCTGTAACAAAACCAAAATAGAACACAGCTAAAGCAGCCCAGATGAATAATCTCCAAATGAATAATCCAGCATGGTCTCAACACATGCTGAATTGATGTTCAGCTCATAATGTCCTGCATCTATCTCTCACCCACCATCTCCGAGGGAAGAATGCAGTCCTAGGCAACTGGGAAGATCACATCTGCATGGCACATTCAACATTCCATCAAAATCCATGGCACCCATTCCGTGGCTGGATCTGGGAGGATATTTCGTTAGCCCCTATCCCCTTTATGGCCATTGTTTCACTCTCTCTGTATTCATAAATATTTAGTTATCTGTGTCATATCTCAAATGACATTGTAGTTAAGATGATGTCCAAGAAGATACGAGTTTATGTTACCTCAGGCAGTGTAAGGGTAAGCATGTGGTCACTCTCCAAAGTGAGTAAATAACTTGATTGATCATTCAAGCCCTAGGATAAAACTGGTTGCAACATTTCCTTTTCTGCTCTCATTTCGTAAGACAATACTGACTTAACTTTCTAAATGCAGCAAAAGGATGCAGCTGTCTCTTCAAATACAAACACAGGAATCTAACTTTGATGGACAGGGCTTAATCTGCGCTACTGTCCATAACATTTTCTACAGCTAGCTTCCAGTTCCGCATGATGACTTAGCAGTTATATTTTAGAATTTGCTTTACGAATTTGTAAGTTTCAGGCATGCCTCTATTAGCACTTCAGTACTTGCCCTTGAAGTTTTACGGACAAGATCTACTGCCTACAGAAAGACAGTACACAATGTACAGCCATGCTAATTCACCAATGGAACTTGACTTTGTACTCCGAACTACAGAAATAATACAACATTATACAACAAAAAAATAACTCTTAAGAAGATGTGTATTTGTAGATTAGCAGAACTACTACTTCGCAGTTAACCAGGAGTGTAAAAATGCAAATACACATATGTGCATGTGTGCTTCAACTCAAGATATATGCCAGACATGAAAAATTTTAGGTCAAACATTTCAGCTGCCAGAATAATCAGTTGAAAATATAAGAACGTAAGAGGGCATGACTGGGGAAAAAAGCAACAGTCATACATGTGGCATAATGCTCACTTAGAATTTGTAATTTTTCATTCTGTTACAGTTTGCCAGTGTTTGATACCCTTAGTGTGGAATATGGCATCCAAGACAAAGCAGATGAAACAAGACACCATGCGTGCTGGGAAAAATAATCAAGGAGTAAGAACTGACAATGGAGATCTATCCAAAGAAATAAGTGACATGGAAATACTTGTCAAAGCGAAGAAATCGTACTTGCAGAAGGAATACAAGATTCTAACTGAACATATGAACACATACATGGGAAGAGTGGAGCATTTCCTGCAGGAAAATAAATTCCTAGAAAAGAAAGCCAAACAGAATCAGGAAGAGAGCAACGCTTACCTCTCTTACATAAGAAAACACAGCCAGAGGTGCCAGAATCTGATAATAACATTAAATGACCAGAATCACACTGATCTGTCTCAAGTCCGGATGCAGAAAGAGAAGCTAATCGCACAGTACGCAGAAAAAGAGAAGGAGGTAAGGAGCAGTCTGATGAATATGGAGACAAAGTACGCTCTTATGAACAAGGAGGTTGAAGACCTGCAGCCTTTCAAAGATCCATCTGTCCAACTGGAACAGATGAAAAAGATTAAAGAGCTGGAGAAGGAATTGTTGGTCACAAAGATACAGCATTCAAATGAAATGCACAAAATCAAGAGCAGATTTCTGCAGGCCAAGACTGACTGTGAGATGGACTTTCATAAGAAGATCCAGGTTCTCACCAAGAGAGCAGAAGAAGCAGCGGTACAGTCTCTAATTCAGCATATCAAACAAGTAAAAGCAGAGAATTGTCATCTGCGCCAGGAATTGCTCAGACTCATCCAATACTCAAAAATCCTTAAAGAAACTAAAATTCAACTGAGAGACCAGCAGGAGCAGCTTCTTCGGGAGAACCAATGCATTCAGGACATGGCACACATGTGTCACTGGTTACACCACCATGAGGCACACAATACAAATGGCAAAACCTACAGCTCTCGCAGCCCGTTCTGATGTGTCCATTAATCTAAAAAAACACTTCTCCACTCCTCACTCATGCTAATGTATCAGTAGACATAGCTGGACTGTGAGATTTGCCACTATTAGTTAGGTAACAGAGTATACAGAAGTAAATGTTCTGTGGGTGGCTGAAAGGACTGATTTACATAGCTCATGCTCAGCCTGCAATCCAGACAACAGATCTTAAAAGTAACCTCAGCTTTAACTTTCATGACATCTGTAATAAGACATTTGAAACGGCAATCCCCTCACATCCCAGAATAATGACATTTTCTCTTTGAGATCAGACTTTGATGTTTCATTAATTAGCAATTTTCCATAGGCAAATTATATTCTTAGACATAGTGAGTCAATCTCTGTGTTACTTTTCACTGCAAACTACATCTACTGATACTATAGTAAGAACCAACATAGACTAGCTCTTACCTTCTGCAATATTCATTTTCCCAAATCTTCCACATGGCAAAGACTTTATTTTACCTTCTGCAAAGAAGAGAAAATAAATATGCAAAAACCCAAATCCTTTAAACAATATAAGCAGCTGAGGTATTTGGCCCTTGCTCACAGCTATCAATAAAATATATTCACTGAATATATTCATATCAATTTTTATTTTCTTCTCCTTGTCTTGCTTTAGTGTTTCACCTGAGAAGCAAGAGGAAAAGAGTTCGGTGTCTAATAGACCGCAGATACATTCACTTTATAAGTTGAATGCTTCTGGATTTCGATTACCTCACCAACGACACCAGAGGTCACCCTTACTCTAGGTTACATTGACACAGGGATATTTCATACAGAATCACACCTCAGTTGAGATTGGAAGAGACCTCAAAGAAGGGTCACCTGGAGCAGGGCCACTTTCAGTGGCTTCTGAGTATCTCAAAGGACAGAGACTCCGCAGCCTCTCTGTGCAGCCTGTTCCAGTGTTTGACCACACTCACAGTGAAAAAGTTTTTTCTTATATTTAAACGGAACATCAATTCCACACAAATTTCAATTTCAGAACAGCCTGGCTCTGTCTTCCCCCCCTGCTCCACCTGATATTTAAACACATTAGTAAGATCCCCTGAGCCTTCTCCAGGCTAAACAATCCCAGCTCTCAGCCTCTTCAAGTATCACAGATACTCCAAGTCTTAATCATCTTTTTGGCCCTTTGCTGGACACAACCCTGTATGCCCACATCTGTCTTACACTAGGGAGTGCAGAGCTGTACAATATAGTCTAGGTGTGGTCTCTCACTGCTGAGGACCACCTCCCTCAAACAGCTGGCAAGGCTCTGCCTAGTGCAGCCCACGATGATGCTTGCCCCTTTGCTGCAAGAGTACATTTGCTGGCTCATGGTCAACCTGGTGTCCACTAAGACCTCCAGGTCCTTTCCTGGCCTGATAGCTGCCAGCATGTACTGCTGCATGGGATTACTCCTCCCCAGGTACAGAACTTTGCATTTTCAGGGATCAAGTTCACAAGGCTCCTGTTGGCCCATTTCTCCAGCCTGACAGGGTCCCTCTGAACAGCAGCACGATCATCTGCTCTATCAACCACTCCTCCCTGCTTTGCATAATCTGCAAATGTGCTAAGGCTGTACTCCAGCCCACCATTCAGCTGATTAATGAAGAGTCTAAACAGTACTGGCACGTGTACTGACCCCTTGGGTACACCACTCATGACTGACCTCCAGCTGGACTTCACGTCACTGATGACAAACCTTTGGTTCCTGCAGTCCAGCAAGTTTTCAGTCTGTCTAACCCTGCACTTAACCAGTCTGTACTTACTCAGTTTATCAAGGAGGATGTTATGGGAATCAGCGTCTGCCAGAGCATACAGCTAGCAAGGAAAGATCTGCTTTGCAGGCACTAGCAGACAGCTGCTAGATTTAAAAAAAAAAAAAGTAGGAATATTTTTTACAGCACATTCGAAAAATACCAGGTGCCGAGAGCAATGTCTGACATACCCCGCTGACCCAGTGCCTTCCGTTGAAGTGCGTCAGATGAGGGCACAGGATGCGCTACGCTGGAGAAGTCCTATACTCGGCCTGCGCCA